GACCTTAAGGTTCGCAGCCCGATTCGTAACCACTACGCTACCAGAGCTCCTTTGATATATATATATGTATATATCTATATATATACACACACACAGAGATCTGTCTTATGTACAATCAATCACTGATTCTATCAAATCATCATACCAAAGACAATTTACTGGTAATCTTCAACAATAGATTCAGGTAAAAGCAGATGTTTTTATGCACTCACCAGACCATTGACCACATGTGCCATCATCACTGAGTGCAGTACACACAATTCAAGATGGTCATGTGACTGGGTTGGGGCCATAAAGTGGGCTGCAAGGCAGCACGGGATCCAGAGCTTTACATGGAGTATTTCACCGGCATCACAGCCACAGGGGACGGCAGACAGTGAGCGACTTGCTGCGCTCTTTCAGTGCAGCATGAGGGGCTTCTGAACATCTGGGTGGTGGCACGGCGGGTGAGGGTGGAGGGGCAGCTGATAGGCTATGCTGGCAGCTCGGTCCCCGGCTCATTTCTTCTCCACCTCACCTTTCTTGGGCTCCTGTTTCAGTTTGTAATCTGCCAGCGCTGCCTTGATGACATTCTCAGCCAGCATGGGCAGTGCAGCTTCACGGGGGCAAGCAGAGCTCCTTGGCGATGTCTGTTTTTTGATGGTCAAGGCTTCTTCAACTGTTTTCCATTCACCCAGTCTGGCTAATAATGAACTGGCTGCGGTTGCAGAATCACAGCCAAATGTTTTAAACCGGGAGTACACAATTTTCCCCTTGTCATCCACTTGGATCTGCAATTTCATTACATCAGCACAAGCTGGAGCCACCACCAATCCATTTCCAACATGTTTAGATGTCCTGTCCAGGGACCCCATGTTTGTGGGATTTTCGTAATGATCAACAACTTTCTTTTGATAGAGCCGAGCCGAGGCTGACAGTTCCCGGGCCGTTAGGCGTGGGCTTGGAGTAACAGAGAGGTTGCCGCCAGCTGCTGACAGCCGACTCCAACAGCTTCCATTTTGCGGGGTCGCGCATGCGCTCTGACAATGTACTGTTAAGGTTTTGTGGGTCCAGTGAAAGTTTACAGGGCAGATCATCACTTTTACATTCAACAAATCATACTCCTTGTTTCATTGTTGTTGTTGCTGTTAGGTGCCATTGAGTTGGTACTGACCCATAGCGACCTTATGCACAGCAGAAGGAAACACTGCCCTATCCTGGGCCAACCTCACTACTGTTGCCACGCTTGAGTCCCTTAATGCTGCCACTTGGCCAGTCCATCTCTTGGGGGCCTTCCTCTTTTTCTCTCACCCTTCACCTTACCAAACATGATATCCTTCTCTAGTAACTGGTCCCTCCTGACAATATGTCCGAAGTATGAGAGATGAAGTTTGGTCATCTTGGCCTCTAAGGAGCACTCTGGCTGTACTTCTTCCAAAACAGATCTATTGGTTCATTTGGCAGCCCATGGCACTTTCAGTATTCTCCTCCAACACCAAAACTCAAAAGCATCAATTCTTTTACGGTCTTCCTTATTCACTGTCCAGCTTTCGCATGCATATGAGGTTATTGAAAATACTGTGGCTCGGGTCAGGCGCACCTTAGTTCTCAAGCTGACATCTTTGCTCTTCAACATTTTAAAAAAGGTCTTGTGCAGCAGATTTGCCTAATGAAATATGTCGTTTGATTTCTTGACTGCTGCTTCCGTGAGTGTTGATAGTTGATCCAAGAAGAATGAAATCCTTGGCAATTTCAATCTTTTCTCCGTTGATAAGAGTGTTGTTTATTGCTCCAGTGGTGAGGATTTTTGTTCTGTTTACATTGAGATGTAATCCATACGGAAGGCTGTGGTCTTTGACCATCAGTAAATGTTTTAAGTCCTCTTCATTTTCATCAAACAAGGTTGTATCGTCTGCATATTGCAGGTTGTTACTGAGTCTTCCTCCAATCCTGATGCCACAGTTTTCTTCATATAACCCAGCTTCTCAGATTATTTGCTCAGCATGTTGTTCTTGTTGTTGTTATGTGCTGTGGAGTCGGTTTCGACTCATAGTGACACTGTACAGGTTTCTGAGGCTGTAAATCTTTATAAGAGCAGAAAGCCTCATCTTTCTCCCATGTATTAGCTTGTAGTTTCGAACTGCTGACCTTTAAGGTTCGCAGCCCGATTCGTAACTACTACTCTACCAGAGTATAGAGACTGAAAGTGTGAATGCAATTCCCTGTTTGTATAGCAGAGTTCAGGAGGGGTTGCTGCAAGCTTAGACCCAGGTGATATGCCCGGCTCCCAACCCCAGGCCAAGCAGAGGCTTATAAGAAGGGAGTGTCCCTGATCTCAGGTCTGGTGAGGGTGGGGACTGACCATACCTTCGACTAACGGGGGAAGAGGGGAACAAGAGCAAATTGAAACCCCCTTTGTCACCAATCCTCAGCTGAGTCCTGTGCCTCATCTAGACCTCTGAATTGACAGTTGCCAGCAAAGGCTTAGTATAGCTGAGCTGCTCCAGAGCAGCTGACAACCTGCCGGTTTTTTCCCCTTCTTGCTGCTTCTGTTCAGCTTCTTCATTCAACTTTCAGTTTACCTTGCTGTCCTGTCTTCTGAAGTTCAGGGTTCCAGGATCACCATGCATATCTGTTTCACTTGATCGTCCATGTCCTGGTTGTTCGGCACATAGGCTTACTCTGCCATCTGCCCTGGTTCTTTGGATAGAACTTGATATTACCTTTTTGATGATGAATGCGAGATGCCATTCCTCTTCAATTTGTTATTCCCAACATAGTAAACCATATGATTATCAGATTCAAAATGAGCAGTACCAGTCCATTTCAGTTCACTAATCCCTAGGAAATCTTTATGCTTTCTATTTCATTTTTTAAAACTTGAAATATTCCTAGATTCATTTTTCATGCATTCTATGTTTTGATTATTAATGGCTGTTTACAGCAGTTTCTTTTCATTTTGAGTTGTGTACCAGTAGGAAAAGAAAGTCCTGAAAGCTTAGTTCCACCCACGTTGTTTAAGTCAACTGTACCTTGAGGAGGCAGTTCTTCCCCAGTCGCATTTTGAGTGCCTTGCAACCTGAGGAACTTTTCTTCCTGCACTCTTATCAGACAGTGTTCTTCTGATAATCATAAGGGTTTTAGTTAGCTAACCTTTCAGAAGTGGTCTGCCTCTCCTGCTTCCTAGTCTGTCTTCGTCTGGAAGCTCCACTGAAACCTGTCCACTATGGGTGAACCTGCTGGTATTTAAAATACCTGTGGCATAGCTTCCAACATCACAGCAACACATAAGGTACCACAGTATGACAAACTGACAGATGAATGGTGAGATAGAATTAAAATATGACATAATTATCCATTTGCTTTACTCCACCAAAGGTTTTTAAGCAGTTATAGTATACGTGCTGTTGATTCTAGTCCAACTCATAGCCACCCCATAGAGTTTCCTAGATTTGTGATCTTTATTGGAGAAGATCACAAGGTCTTTTTGATCTTGGAGCAATTATTAGATTTGAACCACCAACCTTTCCGTTAGTAGCCAAGCACTTAATCATAGCACCACCAGGGCTCTTGTGACATGTTGTTGTCATTAAGTGGTTTCAAGTTGGTTCTGATTCATAGTGACCCTGTATAGGGTGCTGGTGGGTTTGAACCGCCAACCTTGCGGTTAGCAGTCCAGTGCTTATATTACATAACTCAGTTGGTATTCGCACAAGAAATATGATTGAAACTGGGTAAGATGAGGGAAAATGAGTAGTTGTATATAATCATGGTAGAGTGCAGGACGTCTAAGGATCTCATCAAGCTCTGGACATCCTGGTGTGGTGCTGTAGGTTAATGCGCCAGCCAGACTGTAAAGCCATTTGAACTGCAAGGTCGGTGGTTCAAGCTCACCAGCTGCTCCTCGGAAACCCTATACAGGGTCACTATGGGTCGGGATCAACTTGACAGCACTTAACAGCAACAACAAATCATCAAGCTCTAGTCCATTAGCTTAGCGTTTAAAGACTTGCAACCCATCCCAATTCCTTTGCTTATCTAATAGGTTCCTGCATCAATCATCTATCAGTTTATTATACAATGGTGGCTTGCATGTTGCTATGTTGCTATGAAGCTATGCCACTGTAATTTTAAATACCAACAGGGTCATCTGTAGTGGACAGGTTTCAGTGTAGCTTCCAGACTAAGACAGACTAGAGAAGAAGAGGCTTCTGAAAATGTTTAGCAACTGAAAACCTTTTACCTAGTAGCGAAAAATTACCAGATATTGTACCAGAAGATGAAACAGTATGAGCAGCTGCTAGACATTGTCAGATTATAGTGCCAGAAGATGAGCCCCTCAGGTTGGAAGGCACTCAAAATACAACTGAGGAAGAACTTGCCTCCTCAAAGTTGTTTTGACCATAATGGAATAAAGCTTTTGGGACCTTCATTGATCGGGCACAACTCAGAATGAGGAGAAACAGCTATAAACATTCATTATTAATTGGAACGTGGAATGTGCGAAGTATGAATCTGGGAAAATTGAAAGTTGTCAGAAATTAAATGGAACCCATTAAGATCGATATCCTAGGCATTAATGAATTGAAATGGACTGATGTTGGCCATTTTGAATCAGACAATCATATGGTTTATTATGCTGGGAATGACGAATTCAGGAAGAATAGTGTCACATTAATTGTCAAAAAGAATATTTAAAGATCTATCTTGAAGTACAATACTGTCTATGATAGGATAATATCCACACGCCTATAAGCAAAACCAAGGAGCTCTGGTAACGTAGTGGTTACGAATTGGGCTTCTAATCTCACGGTCAACAGTTCAAAACTACCAGCTGTTCCGCGGGAGAAAGATGAGGTTTTCTGCTCCTGTAAAGACTTACAGCCTCGGAAACCCTGTACAGGTTCACTCTACGGCACATAACGACAATAAGCAAAACTAGTTAATATCACTACAATTCAAATTTACTTATCAACAATGAAAGCCAGTAATGATGAAATTGAAGAATTCGACCAATTTCTTAAGTCTGAAATTGTTCAAACATGCAATCAAGATGCATTGATACTTACTGGGTTTAGAATTCAAAGGTTGGAAATGAAGAAAGATCAGTAGTTGGAAAATATGGCCTACATGATAGAAATGATGGTGGAGAACACATAATAGAATTTTGCAAGACCAATGACTTAATTAATTTCAAATAACCTTTTTTTAGACAACATAAAAGGCGGCTATACATGTGGAGCTCAGTAGATGTAATACAGGAATAAAATTGACTACATCTGTGGCAAATGACCGTGGAAAAACACTATATCATTAGCCAAAACTAGGTCGGGGCAGAACATGAAACATCAATTGCTCATATGTAAGTTCAGGCTGAAGCTAAAGAATAAACAAGCCCATGAGAGCCAATATGACCTTGAATGTATCCCACCTGAATTTAGATACCATCTCTAGAACAGATCTGATGTAGTAGACAGTAATGACTAAAGACCAGAAGAGTTGTGAGATGATATCAAGAACATCATGTATGAAGAAAGCAAAAGGTCATTAAAAAGTCAGTGAAAAAAGCAAAGACCAAAATGGGTGTCAGAAGAGACTCTGAAACTTTTTTTTGAGCATAGAGAAGCTAAAGTGAGTAGAAGAAAGTAAGAGTTTAAAGAGCTGAACAGAAAATTTCAAAGGTCAGCTTGAGAAGACGGAGTCAGTATTATAATGAAGTGTGCAAAAACTTAAAGTTAGAAAATCAAAAGGGAAGAGCGTGCTCAGAATTTTTTCAAGCTAAAAGAACTGAAGAAAATTTTAAGTTTTGACTTGCAATATTGAAGGATTCTATGGAAAAACTATTGAATGATGTAGAACGCATCAAAAGAAGATGGAAGAAATGCACAGAATCACAGTGCCAAAAATAAATTGTTTTTGTGCATCCATTTCAAGAGGTAGCATATGATCAAGAGCCAGTGGTACTGAAGGAAGAAGTCCAAGCTGCACTAAAGGCATTGGTGAAAAACAAGACTCTAGAAGCTGACAGAATACAAATGGAAAAGTTTCAGCAAACTGGAGACACTCATCCTTGCCAAGAAATTTGGAAGAGAGCTACCTGCCCCACCATTTGGAAGACATCCACATTTGTGCCTGTTTCAAAGAGAGGTGACCCAATGGAATGCAGAAATCATTAATGTCACATGCAAGTAAAATTTTGCTAAAGATGATTAAAAAATGGCTGCAACAGTACATCGACAGGGAACTTCCAGAAATTCAAGCAAAATTCAGAAGAGGGTTGGAATGGGAGATATCACAGCTGATGTCAGATGGATCTTGGGTGAAAGCAGAGAATGCCAGAAGGATGTTTACTTGTGCTTTATTGACTATGCAAAGGCTTTTGACTGTGTAGGTCATGACAAACTGTGAATAACAATATGAAGATGGTTATTACATAACACTTAAATTGTGCTCATGAGGAACCTTGTACATAGACTAAGAGGCAATTTTGGAACAGAACAAGGAGATACTGACTGGGTTAAAATCAGGAAAGGTGTGTGCTAGGGGTGTATTCTTTCACCACACTTAATCAGTCTGTAAGATGAGCAAATAACTTGGGAAATTAGACTATGTGAAGAAAAATAGCATCAGGTTTGGAGGAAGACGCCAGTGATACAACCTTGCTTGCTGAAAGTGCAGAGGACTTAAAATACTTAATCAGGAAGATCAAATACTATAGCCTTCAGTGTGGATTGTACCTCAGTATAAACAAAACAAAAATCCTCACCACTGGACCAATAAACAACATTCTTATCAGTGGAGAAACGACTGAAGTTGTCAAAGATTTCGTTTTCCTTGGATCCATTATCAACATTCATGGGAGCAGCAGCTTAAGAAATCAAGTGATGTATTGAATTAGGCAAATATGCCTAATTCCTGTGTGAGAACTAAGGCGTGCCTGGCCCAAGCCATGGTATTTTCAGTAGTCTCATATACATGTAAAAGTTGGACAGTGGATAAGGAAGACCGTAGAAGAATTGACACATTTGGGCTATGGTGTTGGAGGAGAATATTGAAAATACTATGGACTGCCTGAAAATCAAACAAATCTGTGTTGGGAGAAGTATAGCCAGAATGCTCCTTAGAAGCCAGAGTGGTGAAATTTCGTCTCTCATACGTATTATCAGGGTTCACCAGTCCCTGGAGAAGGACATCATGCTTGTTAAAGTGGATGGTTGGCTATAAAAGGAAGACCCACAAGGAGATGGTTTGACACAGAAGCAGCAGCAGTGGGTTTAAACATGGCAATAATTGTGAGGATGGTGCAGGACGAGACGATTTTCGTTCTGTTGTGCATAGGGGTGCTATGAGCTGGAACCAACTTGACAGTACCTCACAACAGTAGATTCCCTGATTCAGTCAAATCTCCCTTTACTTCTCACCAGACCTTCCTTACTCTCAACTCTGCACCTATGCACCTTTGCCCTATTACTGCAATGTATATAACCTGCTCTTCTGCCAATTAAGATCTTATCTGAGATCCACTAAAAATCTTATCTCAAATCCTAAACCATTGCTTTCCTATGTTTTACTTAAATGTTTGTCTATGTCATCTTCAAATTGTTTCACATATTTGTCTTGCTTAGTCATCAAGATTGTGGAATTGTACAGGTCATATCAGGGCCCCATCATGTCTTTTTTGGACTGGACTGACTGACTTATAGTAGAAATTCAGTGTTGATTGTACACTCAATCTTGTGCTAATATCTGTAGTATTTGACTTATAGACGTTATTAACGTTTTACTGTTTAGCCTCCAATAAACTAGCATTTTTCAGTATTTTATGTAAAGCAGTGTCTATGAAATTAATACTTGTAGAATGCTTCAGTTTGTGGTTCTTAAATTAGTTCTATTAAAATGAAACTGTTTTAGAAAAGATAAGGTAAGTTCTTCATAAAAATTCTCAATGTCTCTTGTCTTACAGGCTTCTTTCATCACATGATGTTTTGCTCCAATCACATCTTCACACAAGTGCTTCTCTTGACATCTCTCGAAAATGGGAGAAGAAGAATAAAATCGTTTATCCCCCACAACTGCCTGGAGAACCTCGGAGACCAGCGGTAAGTTTGTGGTGGGTAAAACAAATCTCTTAATGTTGATAAAGCACACTTGCATTTATGGGTTTAACTGCTGACCTTGTGGTTCGCAGACAGTGCTGATCCACAGTGCCACACCAGAAGTCCAAGAGATTGCTATATCCTGAGAAATAAGATAGCTTCCAACTTAATGTGAGTTTCCTGTGGAATCATGTTGTTAAGTGTTGTTGAGTTGGTTCCAACTCATGGCAACCCTGTATAGTGTTTCCAAGGAACAGCTGGTGGGTTTGAACTGCTGATTTTATGATTCGCAGTGCAGTGCTGATCCTACAGCACCACACTACGAGTCCATACATATGTGTTAAATCTAATCAGATAATAGTGTAAACAAGATGAGAGGGTTTTAGTCCTTAAGAAACTAAAGTGATAAAGTACTTTAGAAGTAGAATTACTGTGTTAATTATAAATAATTTGGTTCATCAGACATCTTTTAAAGGTGTTTGAGATTCAAGACTACTGGATAATCAAGGTCATCTAAATAGTAGTAAAGAGCATGACATTTGCTTAGTTTTTATATGAATTTGAAAGGGTACATTTCATTTAAAAAATATTCCATTGTTGTTTAACTAGTGGTGGTGGTTATGTGCCGTGGAGTCGGTTCCGACTCCTAGCGACCCTGTACAGGGTGTCCGAGGCTGTCAATCTTTACGTGAGCAGAAAGTCTCATCTTTCTCCCGCGGAACAGCTGGTAGTTTCAAACTGCTGACCTTGAGGTTTGCAGCCCGATTTTTAACAACTACGCTACCGGAGCTCCTAGTAAAGTACGCATTTTCTTCTTTCCCCCCCCTGATTTAGAAGAGTTAATTGATTTACTTAAAGAGCTCCCATCTGATTTGGAAATGAGAGGGAAAAGGTGATAGTTTAAACAAATAACTTCTTTTTTTTGATCTAGTCTTTTCTGGAAAAAATCCCTATGTATTAAATAAATGAACTATAAAAATACTGTAGTACAGTAAATGCAGTGGGAAAAACATTAGTGTCGGGGTCTGACCTCGACATAGTTGTCACGAGTTTTTGGATCACGAGGAGGGGAGATCCAGCGGCGATAGGGATAGCGAAAGAATACACAGACAAAGAAGAAGGGAGACAATGAGGCACCCCAAAGCCAGGGTGGATACATCACTGGTGGGCAGGCTTGGGACTACAGGCATCATGGCCTCTGCAGGCAGCGACTCACTGCCCTGCAATCTTTAATGCATGCCTTCCAACCCGTAACGCACCGCAATCTTTACTCCATGCCTTCCAACCAGTAATGCACACCTGGGGAGGCTCGGGCCTCTGTTTTATTTAGGGGAGGAGTTTCACACCAAGCTGGGAGGGACTAAAACAGGATACAGCTAACATCAGTAATTTTCCAGACAATCAGGTAACTTTACATTGTACTTCACTGGTTCGAATCCCAGGCCAGCAACTTGGATTCTCAGGCCCAATTAACATATCTATAGCCCCTGAGGTCAGTTGGGGGAAGTTGAGAGTTCTGCAGGAGACGCCCAGGTGAATGGGCTGCACCTGGAAAAGGGATTAGGGAGGATGGGTTCTTTGTCTATAGAACAAAGAACCGAGAAGTAGTTAAGATATTTTTAGTTAATCCTTTGGAGAAAGGTTTAACCTTGCAACCTTTAGTCTTGGCTTTAGGAAAATATCACATTTATCTGTGGATTTTCAAAGGCTCCAGTGTATTAATTTAATATATATACCTGAATATTAAGATGAAAGCAATTTTCCATTAACTGCCAGTGGCCTCATTTGTTACACTCAGCCCTAGAGGGCCTCGAACCTCTGACTAGTCTTACACGGTCTGCAACACATTAGGAATTGTGTCAGGGGAAGCCACAAGCACTTTTTAGTGCTTATATTTTATACCATTAGAATTTGACAGATTTATCACAGAATCTGTGCTGTTGAGTATTGACTCCATTTTGCTATGAACCAAGACATTAAAATAGTTACACACTTGTACAAATACGATAATTAGAATATCATTTCCTGTAATTAATGGGAGTACAGGCAGTGGCTCCATGTGACAAGCACTGGATTATGAACTACAAGGTCTGTAGTTCTAGCTCACTAGCTGCTTCACAGGAGAAAGAGAAGACTTTCTGCTCCCTTAAAGATTTAAAGCCTTGGAAGACCTATACAGGGTCGTTATGAATCAGATCCGAGTCAACTGTGCTTAATCACCATATAATTAATGAGTTTTATTTTTTATCTGAGCTTTTTGAACTTTGGTATTAATTGGAAATAGAGAAACCATGCCCGTATTTGTCAGCTTCAGCATCTGTGAACCAAACGTCTTTTTTGTGTGTATAGTGCCAGTCACTTGGATATTAAGAGAAAAAAAAAGTACTTCAAGGTGCATTCCAGATTTCAAAACTCATGTAGTTAGCAGTAAATGAAGAACATTGTTAATCCAATAATTTGTTGTGTCTTGTATTTACTAAAATTACCTTGATTACCTTTTTTCATGACGTACTCCTTATTTAATAGTGCTCTGAGATGGGGACAAGACTCTCATAATTCAATAGTGAGTAATTATTATCATGACTAATAGCGATGGTCACACCTATAAAGGTAGAAGTTTTGTAGCAAAAAGGGGTGAGTGGTCAATCCTACAGTCCCGGAGCAGAGGACCCTGGGACATCAAGGAAGAAGAGCGGGAGCAGAGTTTTGGAACCTACCCAGAGAGGTAGCAATGCCAGAGATGGAGGCAGAGATGATGACATGGAGAGACGGAGCATCTGAAGATTCTAGACTCATGGAGGGAGAGGAGGGGATGTGTGCTGGTGGCCAGGGGGCAGGGTGTACCGTTTGGCTGTTTGAATGATTGTATATTCCTGAGTGTTTTGGTGCACATCCAAAAAAACAAAAACAGAGGTAATAGAAGCAATACTGTTGAATGATGAAGCATGCAAGGGATTGTAATCATTGCAATGAAAAGAACTGATGTTCCCCCTTGTAAACTATCACTCAATTCACAATAAAAACTTTTTAAAAAAAAGGCTCTGATAGTGTAGTGGTTAGGAGTTAGGCTGCTAACAGCAAGGTCAGCAGTTTGAAACTACCAGCCATTCTATGGGAGAAAGATGAGGCTTTCTGTTCCCATAAAGATTTACAGCTTCAGAAACCCTGTAGAGGGTCGCTATGAGTTGGAACTGACTTCACAGCACATAACCACCACCACCAGACCTTATATGAATTCTGCATGGAGATGTTCGATTTGTGCAGGACCTTTGGAGAAGCCTAACTAATTCCCTAGTTTGCACAGATTTTGTTTGAGTGAGTAATCCTTTATGGAACAAGTTTTGATTGTTGGAAAATAACATTTTCTGACTGAAAATAGTGTTTAGTAAATTGACATTAATGCGTATACCTACTGCAACTGGAAATATTACTATTTTTCCACTGGCGTGGTGCTTTGGGTTAATGTGCTGGACTATAAGTTCGATTTTTACTGCAAGGTTGGCGATTCAAACTCATCAGCCACTCCTCGGAAACCCTAAAAGGGTCGTTGTGGGTCAGAACCAACTTGATGGCACTTAAACAGCAACATAGGGTTTTATAAGGCTGAAAATCTTGTAATCGAGCAGAAATCCTCCTCTTTCTCCTACAGAGTGACTCTTGGATTTGAACTGTTGACCTTAGCAGTCCAGTACTTATCCTATAGTGCCACCAGGGCTCTGTATGGGAAATATTAATATCCTTCATAATTACCTAACATATTTACTGGATATAAGTTATTCTCCTAGCCACTTAGATTTTAACACAGTACAACTTTGTAACTTTGAAAGTCCCTTGGATTTGCCCATTTATTAGCTTCAGCATTGAAATCTGTATTTTATAAACAAATAATAGTGGCTTGTTGTTATGTTGTTAAGTGCCTTTGAGTCGGTTCCAACCCATAGCAACCTTGTACAGGGTTTCCGAGGGTGTAAGTCCTTATGGGAGTAGAAAGCCTCATCTTTCTCCCGCGGAGCAACTGGTAGCTTCGAACCGCTGACCTTAAGGTTCGCAGCCCGTTTCGTAACCACTACGCTACCAGAAGAGAGTGAATAAATCCTATGGCAGTAAATTAAAATTTATGCCAATAATTTGCATGTTTTAGGCCATTCATAATATTTTTAAGATTCTCGGAGTCCTGATGTGGCACTGTGGGCTAATGTGTCAGACTGAAAAGTTGGTGTGAACTACAAGGTCAGTGACTGGTTTAAGCTCACCAGTTGCTCCTTGGAAACCCCATACGGGGTTGCTATGGGTCAGAATTGACTCAACAGCACTTATCAACAACTTCCTATCTAGTTAACATCAGTTTCCAAACAGTATTGGTGTTTATGTAGACATTGTCTTATATGTGACTCTATCATAATTAAGAAAATAAGGCAGAAAGAAATTACAGATTTTTTTTCATGAGTCACAATATTAATTTGGGCTTGAGTTTCTTTTTGCCTTATCATCTAAAAGACTGCATTAAATACATTAAAAGTAATGAAACCCATTGTCATCGAGTGAATTCCAACTCATAGTGACCCTATAGGACTGTCGGCCCCTAGGATTTCTAAGGCTGCCACATTGTTTCCTGTGGAGCAGCTAGGGGGTTCAAACGGCCGACTTTTTGGTTTGTAGTTGAGCGCTTAGCCACTGCATCACCAGTGCTCTTGAAAGTAGTGAGACTAGCACGGCTATCTGAATAATCATTTCTGTAAAAGGAATATTTTTAATGTACAGATCAGCCAACATACAGATAATAAGTCATACTGGACTGCAGGGTCGGTTTAAATCATAAGGTTGGCAGTTGAAACTGATCATGAGCTGGAAAAGGACTCATTGGTACTTAAAAACAACAACATGCCATTAATGTGGACCTCATAGGCTCTAGTAAGTACATTCATTGTTGTTAAGTGCTGTTGAGTTGGTTCCAACTCATAGTGACACTGTATAGGCTTTCTGAGGAGCTCTTGGTGGGTTTGAACCACCAACCTTGTGGTTAGCAGTCCCGTGCTTATCCTTCAGTGCCACATCAGGACTTCAAGGGTGTTAATTAGGTGATACTGTATCCTCCTTTGAGTTATGTGTATTTAAAAATGAATTGATTTCTTTAGAAGTCACTGGTTTATTAGGCATTTTAAATTGAACAGATCTGATTTATAAAATTTAAAAAAATTTAGCCTTATTTTTATTTTATTTGAATATTGTAATCCAGTTTACCATATTAGTTAATCAATGCTGTTAAGTTGTTGTTAAGTGCCGTCAAGTCGATCCCGACCCATAGCAACCTTGTATACAGTTTCCAAGGAGCAGCTGATGAGCTTGAACCACTGACCTTGCAGTTCAAATGGCTTTGCAGTCTGGCGCATTAACCCATAACGCCACACCAGGACACTAATCAGTGCTAGTGATATTTAATTAGGATTTCTGACCTCTAATGTCTCGATTTTATTTACTATGACTTTGGTGTATGTTTTGAAAGTACTCTGCCTAAAGTCAACTAAACTAAAGTGAAATTAAAGAGCTTTTTAGTTTTAGAAGACGATGTAAAACTTCTGAAAACTTAGGCCCTTTTTATCCTATGCCCTTGGCAGCATTATAATTTTTTTTAACCAAAATTTGAGGATAATCATATACATTTCAGGTTTAAAGATACTTCACCAATGGAAACCAAGAACTGAAAGTTTTTATATAAAAAAATTCATTGAGTGGATTAATTTTTACAGATTAATATTATCAGTCATGACAGTTCTTTGCTCTCCTTTGCTCCCTAGGACACTTTATTGCTGAAAATGTAATTATGTTATTGCTACAGTTTTCAGCCTGTCAGCTTCTACTGTAACTGAAATGAAACCTGCTACATATTAAAAGATGGCCACTTGAGAAAAACTTTGCTGTTTTCAAGGCATTTGAAAATTTCCACCTGAAATCAAACTGATGGAAATGTCTGAGGTCTCCTGCAATTACTCACTTTGACAAATGTTTTCTAATTTTTTATGTGACTTAATTAGCAGTATTATATAGTTTTGGAGTCCTGGTGCAGTGGTGTAGGATAAACGATGGACTACCAGGTAGGTTTGGACCACAAGGTTGGAGGTTCAGACCTACCAGCTGCTCCTCAGATGCCCTATGTCACTGAGTCAGAACTGACCCAACAGCACTTAACAACAATAAGTGGTATAGTTTGGTATGGAGTCCTGGTGTGACTCTAGGATAAGCACTGGACTGTTAACTAAAAGGTTGGCGGTTCAAATCCAGCGGCAGCTCCTTGGAAATCCTACATGGGATACATTGCGTTGGAATCGACTCAACAACCCTTAATAACACAACAACAATGGAATAGTAGTGGAAAGAATGTGCGTTTTAGAATGGCACACCTCCAGATGTTGTATTAGGCAATTCACATACTTTCCTGTTTGCTGATGTGTTGCTTTGCCTCACACCAGATATGTGGTTTTGGGCAAGTTAATTCTGTTAAAATCTGCCTGATTTTCTGCTTATGAAAAGATGGTACAATGTTTCTTTTCCCAATTCATAAAGTCAGATCAAATGAAATAGTGAACCTGAAAAGTACTTTGTGAATGAATGATTTAAAAAGAATGAAATAGGATATACCTACCACTTTAAATTAAGGAGCTCTGGTAGCGTAGTGATTACGAATCGGGCTGCGAACCTTAAGGTCAGCAGTTTGAAACTACCAGCTGTTCCGTGAGAGAAAGATGAGGCTTTCTGCTCCTGTAAAGATTTACAGCCTCGGAAACCCTATACAGGGTCGCTATGAGTCAGGACCAACTCCATGGCACATAACCACCACCACCACTTTAAATTAACAATCTGCAATAGGCAGATGCCACAACCTTACTTTCTGAAAGTGAAGAGAACTTGAAGTGCTTAAACTGATGAAGATTAAAAAATGTAACCTTCACTATTATACCTCACCATAAAACAAAAATCCTCCCAATAATCAATATTGTGATAAATGGAGAAAATATATTGAAATTGTCAAGAATTTCATTTTGCTTAGATTCACATCTACACCCATGGAGGCAGCATTCAAGAAATCAAAATACATTTTTTATCGGTCAAACCTCTTTTAAAGTAACTTTGAGGACTACGATGTTCCTGAACTAAGCCATGGTATTTTCAGTTGCCTCATATGCATGCAAAAGCTGGACACTGAATAAGGAAGACTAAAGAAGAATTGATGCCTTTAATTGTTGAAGAATATTGAATGTTGTGTACTGCCAGAAGAACAAACAAATCTATGTTAGAAGAAGCACAATTAGAATGTTCCTTAAAGTGAGGATAGAGGAAACAGGAGACACAGGGAGGAATGCAGTAGTTAAAGTGAATAGAGGGTAAATACTGTTAACTGGAGTCCTGATGTGGTCCTGTGGGATAAAGCACTCAACTACAAGGTCGGTTTGAACCACAGGTTGGTGGTTGAAACTCAAAAGCTACTCTTGGGAGACCCTATGCCATAGGGTCGTTTGATTTGGACCCAACTCCATGGCACTTAACAACAATAACAACTATTAACTGATAGTACATGGAAGGGATTGCAATGGTTGTAATGAAGGGAAGTATATGATTAGTTGAATGGATATAAAACTGATGATCTGCTTTGTAAACCTTATTACGGACATGTTATCAGGAGGTACCAATCCATGGAGTACATCATGCTTGCTAGAGTAGATGGTGAAAAAGAGGAAGACCCTCCACATGGATGAACATAGTGGCTGAACAGTGTGGGCTCATACTTATCAACAATTGTGAGGGCCAGGCAGTGTTCTGTTCTATTGTACATAGGATCAGTGTGACTCGGAACCTACTCGACTGCACCTAACAACAGCAACCACTTAAAATAGATGATAAGAAACTGTGCCAGATATACAAACTGAAGGACAGAGAGGTTAAGTATCTTGCTCAAAGTTATGTAGTTAGTAAGTGGCAGAGTTAGGATTTTAACCCAGGCAGTCTGATTCTTGACCAGTATTTCTATGTTATACCTTTTCCTTTGTTCTTTTAATCAGCTAATGTTTTCAAAAGCTTTCATTTTAATCTTGTATCTTTCTGGATAGATATGCTGCAAATATTAGCGAAAATTGGCCACTTGATAGTTTCTGTGTTTCCTTTAGTACTATTTTAGCATAGTGAGACATGGAAAAATACAACTCTGTTTGGGAAAGGAGACTCTCCAAATTCTTGACAATGTTTTTATTCTTGTGGCAGCATCTTCAATTAGGCACGGAAAGTAAAAGCTTTAGTATCAGTATATGTAACTGATTTTGATAAATCTTCTAAAGGTTGTTTTCCCCTCTTATTTGTAAAGGAAATCTACCACTGTCGAAGACAAATAAAATACAGCAAAGAGAAGATGTGGTATTTGGCAAAACTGGTAAGCTAAAATTACTATTACTATGTAATATCTAGGAAAAGAAACTATGAATTTCCCCCTGGGATTGAATTTTTTTTCTTTTTAATTGCCTTGATTTCTTCAAAATATGAGGAGTATAGTTACATATTCAGACAATTGGTAGGTAATAGACAATGGTCAGAGAATAATAATTTTGCTTAATTTTTACTTTTTCTGTTGAGAAACAGACTCACATTGATTAATAGATATCTAAAACCAAAGCATCCACATTAACGTATTTGAGGAATTCTGGCTATGACTAGAGACTTTAGAAAGCTTTCTTTTCTGTCAAGTTTGATTCAACCTATTTCAGAATGATTGCTTTCCAAGTGTTTTCTCTGGAAAATGAAATTTATACAAAAAGGAAGACAAGAGCTGCAAATACACATGTAACACATTTATCCTGTCGAAGGAGGAGATGAGATGCCTTTAATGCCTACTGTGGTCCTTGCCAACCTGTGTTCTTTGTCCATGATACCTGTTAAGTAGTTTTGAAACTACTAAACAGGCTAAGTTTTATGGTTAAACTGTTTTAGGTTTGATTTTGATTAAAGAGGGTGGTATCTGAGGTTGGCCCAGGACCAGGCAGTGTTTTGTTCTGTTGTACATAGGGTCACTATGAGTCGGTACTGACTTGATGGCACCTAACAACAAGTCTCTTCTGAAACTTGTTTTCTTCTCTTTTACTTGGTGTAATTTGCTAATTTTAGAAGTTATTTGGATTATGTAAGGCATTCATTCACTTTTTATTACAAAGAAAATCGTGACTTTGTAACCAAATTGGTTTATCCTCTCTTGTCTGTTGTTCTTTAATTCTAGATACGAGGAATGTCCATTGACCAGGCTTTGGCTCAATTAGAATTCAGTGACAAAAAAGGGGCACAAATAATTAAAGAGGTAAACTTGCAAGGTTCCTTGGGGTTTGGGTGGGTGGGGCAATGCTATGCTCAGTTGTCTTGTAGGTTTAATATGTAATATTTAATATGTAAGTTTAATATGAATCTGAATTCCCTGAATTTTCTGACTTGTATAATGCACACTTTATTTGGTTTAGGGGACTCAGTCTAATATCCTTTTACTTAAGGAATGTTGTGCAGTGCTTTATGCTCGTATGCTTTGAGCATTTTTTTCCTTGTACCAAACATTTGATTTTTTTTTTTTTTTGCTATCTGTGAAGTTAAAGATTGTATTTTTAATGTTTTAGGCTTAGTAGAGTTTTTAGAAGATTTTATAAAAATCAGTTCCATAAATGAGAGCTTTTGATTTCATAACAAATTAGGTGGGAAGACCAATGGGCTAGGACTCAGTAGAGTTGGAGTCTAATTCTTTCTCTGATAATTCCTATTATGATATGATCAAGATACTACCTATCTGGTTCATTATTCTCATTTGTGAACTAGGTGATTTTGTATTAGATGATCTCTAAAGACCCTTCTAACTCTAAATGTAGCTGTGCGCTTGGTAGAAATGTGCCAAGCCAGGTGACATCTTTCTGAACACACACGTGTTCTTTAAAAATATGTGTTGACTATATTGCCCTTCACCATCTGTGGAGATCAACATCATTTTCTGTCTTCAATTAGTTCTCATCTAAAGTCACTTCTTATCTTTCCACTTAGTAGTTGAGTAGTTGAGACTGATGGATGCAGTTCTGAGAGGCTCCATTTCAGTGCCTTATAATTTTACTGTATTTGATTAGATTCAGAATGCATTTACTAAGGATATTTGTATCTGTTATGAACCCAGTCTTGTACTAGGTTTTTAAAAAATCTTCTGTTATTACAAAAATTGCCTTACTTTAAAAAAGTATGTTCTGGGAGAATTAACTTAATTCAAAACATCTATAGAATTATATTTTTTAAATCTATAGTTAAAATTTAATAACTAAGTTCATAGGAGAAATTGTCAGGTATTATGTTTTTTGTACCTGTGTGCCACTCTAATAGTCACTTTGGTTATAGAGTTTAAGAATTTTCAGTTAAGATTTAGCCCTTGAACTCCTTTAACCTTCTGACAAGCCACTGACTCAAAGACAATGTTAGTTACCAAGGGCACTGCTTACAGTTGCTACTATCTTCTCCTTTACAGATCACATATTCCATTTAAAACTTAAGTAGAGTGGACTTGGAGAAAGGAAAGCTCACTGCATTCCGTCTCCCTAGTATTGCTCTCATTTGATATTCTGTTTAAGTTCTGAACTATAAAATGGAAGTATGTGATTAGCAGTCACATTACAGAGATGAGAACAAGAAATGAGAAATTTAGTTCAAGTTCAACTATATAAACGTCTTCCTTTTCCTTGTTTAAGGTTCTCTTAGAAGCACAAGATATGGCAGTGAGAGACCACAATGTAGAATTCAGATCCAATTTATATATAGGTAAGATTTTAATATTTCTAGCACTTGTAAATGTCTTCCATTAATGATGCCAAGTTCTTTATCTAACATAAATGTCTCTGACATTTAACTACTAAGGGCTGGGTTTGCCAGTGAAAATTATGGGTAATGGCTTATTCTTTAGTCTTCATCATGTTACAAATGGTAATAGCCATATTGCTTTATTCAGACCTGTTTCGTAATGTAGCTGAGATCGTGAAACCTACTGCCAGTTGTTATTAAATAATGGATAGTAAAACTGGTACATAGTTGTTGTTAAGTGCCGTTGAGTTGGTTCCGATTCATAGCAACTCTGTATAGCATTTCCTAGGAGCAGCTGATAAAACTTAGGAAGAACATAACTTTTTTAACTGATTTTTTTTTTTTTAAAACGTTTTATTGTGAGTTGAGTAAAGGTTTACAGAGCAGATTATCAGTTTTACATTCCACAAATCCTACACTCAGTTTCATCTCAATGATTGCAATCCCCTCGATATAATATCACTTATCCCACTTCCTCTGTGATTCTTGTTTCCATTTCTCGTTTCCCCAGATCTTTTGAATTTTGTCCTTAGGTAAATGTGGTCCTTTTAATCTAAAATGGTTGATCATTCTATGGTGTGTGTACCTCACTAGTATTGTTATCCCGTTCCCCCCATCTGATTTGTTTTTAATGAAATTTTTTTGTCAACTGGAAGTGGTTAAATAAAGGATCAGAGGTGGTCTTAGAGTATACTGTGCCACTCCAGCTACCCAATCCATAAGGTATTGTATAATTTAACCTTAATGGAAACTGTTGAATTGTAAAGGCCAAGGGACCTTGGAAAGCTCGGATGACCCGATGTGTTTGTTCCCTTTGTTATTATGTCCTGAAGCATTATCTCTGGTTTTATGTGCTTGTTCCACATCAAATTAAATTAATGTAAGTGAAAATGCTTTGGGAAGCATGATGCACTATACAAATGTAAGGGAATTTTTGCAGCATACCTTCACAGCTCTTTTACCTAAGAGCAGTTCAACATTTATTACAAAGCTCTTTGCCCCTCCCAGAACACCGTAGTGAAGTGGCGCAATAGCTGAAGTTATTGTTTTCTTCTCACTACCGCAGCAATTACTCCTAACCTCAGCAGTTTTATAATCAAAGCTGTTGATGTCGAAGCAAAATTTGCTCAGTCTGCCAAACTTGTGTATAAAAAGGACTAGTTTATTTAAAAAGATTAATATTCTGTATAGGGTGAATTGTTTTTTGCAAAATTGGGGAAGAGAAGACTGGATTGGGGAAATTAGTTGTATTTTAAAAGTTTTCAACAGTGTTTAAAAAAATCCATGTCACATAGCCTTTGCCCTAATAGAGATGTTTTTATCTGATTGAGTTCAAATCTCGCCTCAGCTCACCTGGAGTTGATGCTGGTAACCACATTTACTAGTAAGATTCTAATTTATTAATGATTTTCAGTTAAAATATTTCAAAGCTGAATCCTATGTAAGTAATTATATTCTGATATGCATATAGATGCAGAGGGAATTAAAAATTGCAACTTAAAAGTTGCAGGGCCATACTAGCTAATCATAAGCATTTTCTGCTGGGAGAAAGATGAAGGAATATAATACTAGAGAAGTCACAGAATTATTGGACAAGATGAGGCGAATGAAGAGCCAGGCCATTATGTTGGTGACCTTTCCTGCTCTATGACTGAATGCAAATAAAATTAATTTTAATTCAATTATATAGGAATATGGGCTTCTTAACTGATAGATACCACTTTATAATGGAATTCAGATTGAAATAGGATTTGTTTTTAAATCTCGTTCAGGAACTTGGTCTTTAAATCCACTTTAACTGTTGTTAAAAAAAAAAAAAAAGAAAGATACCTCCAGCTTAATCCAGTCTTCTAAAATGAAGGAATATAATGCATTGGTGCCATTAAGTAGAAATATCTCTTAACTAGTCCTGCATAAATAGGCCTTACATTCAGAGTTCTTTTTATGCACATTTTTGCCAAAATAACTGCTTCACCTGCTTTTCTTTTTGTCTTATCCGGTGTAAAAATTACTTTCCTAAAGTAGGTGTGACAAGTGTGGATTTAGCTTTTTCTCATTCAGTAAGTATTTAAGCACTCAATTCCTTATGAGGTCGCTCTGAGTTGAAACTGACAAGATGGCAAGTAGCAATAACAACAATAATTCTATTATGAAGGGAAAGGAGACAAGAACCCTGAGGAAGATGAACTGTCTAGCCATGACATGTAGAACATTTTATCCTTGTATTTGCCAGACGTCCCTAATAATCATCTAAGGTACTTATTAAATATTCAGATTTCCAGGCCCACCAGAGTCTCACTGGGTAGGAAACCCCAGGGGAGAGGTCTGTGAAGCTATTTGTTGAATAAGTACCCTAATGATTCTTACCTATGAAATGTGGAAACTGGTTTATCTCATTATTTGGGGGGAGAAGCCCTGGGCACTTTGTTCTGTATACTTCTACTAGAATTTTGAGAGCATGTTGACTCAGTATTTTGGCTCATCAATGCCTCTTTCAATCCCCAGAAGTGAGTAAGTGAAGACATGTTTTCCTTCTTTAAAATGTACTTATTTTGTTGTTGTGGAGAATCTACACAGCAAACCCACACCAATCCAACAGTCTCTACGTCTACAATTGAGTGACATTGATTACCGTCTCCGAGTTGTGCTACTACTAGTCTTACCTTCCTTTTCTGAGTTCCACCCTCACTAACATAAACTTACAGTCCCTAAAGCTCCTGTCTAATCTTTTCAGTTACTGCTGTCAGTTTACCCCCATGTTGTTGTTAAGCGCTGTTGAGTCGGTTCCGACCCATAGCAACCCTGTATAGGGTTTCTGAGGAACAGCTAGTGAACTTGGACTGCCAACCTTGTGGTTCAAACCCGCTTTGCAGTCCAGCGCATTAACCCATAGTCCCACACCAGGACTCCTTACCCCGTATATATAATTTTAAAGAGCATAATGCTCAAGGCAGATCTTGTTGCCCCCCACTATTTGTACTGTTGTTTGGTTTTAAGGAGCCCTGGTTTGTGGGGAGACCAGCTCTCCTCGGGGGTCATGGGACACGAGAGGAGATGCGGAGTCGGTGAATGGGTTGAAAGAATGGCTTTCTCAGTCAGCTTGCTTATGCTGTCTGTGCTGTCCAGCTTGTTGCTCTGCCTTCTGCCTTCTGCCTTCTGCTTCTTTCTGCTGGCCCAGCTCAGCAAGTCTTTATTTTTATACTTAAAATTACACTGTACATGAATTGACACTTTTATCTTTTCTTGAATTATTACACAGTTAGTCACAGCATTCTTGCACCTGGTAGTTAGACAACCTTGACAAAAATATTTCTGTGATGTTCAAACTGACCTTCATCTCCTTTCCCAATATGTGATAAACTGTTTCTTCTTGTTTCCACTAAAAGATTATCAACTTTCTATCCTACATAATGTACTATTATTTTCATAATAGAAGTATTCATTAAATCACTTAGAAGCTATGTGGCATAAAGCCCAACCTGGCTACTTGCTGCAAGACGTGTAGATTATCAAGTCAAAACTATCCTTCACTTAAGTTCATTATTGTCTGCTTGTTTACGCAGGTGTCTGTATGTAGGGGTTTGTGAATTCTAGCTAGTGACTGATTGTGGTGAGGTCTATAGGGATAGGTCAGCTTGACTTTAATATGTTATCTGCTTTTTGGTTTCACAAATGCAGTTACTTAGGTTTTCTGTGAAAGGGAGTAATTTACACAATTCTGTTTGTATTCAATCCACCAAAGTTGAAAGCAATTGTTGATAAGCCAGTTTTTCCTAAGGTTTGTAGAACTCATAGTGAAAGGCTGTGAATATGGACATATTATATATTTTTACAAGAAAATTTAAGATTACTTTAAAGAGAAGGTAGAAAGCGACTTCTGAGAGCCATCTGTCTTGCAAGATGACTCCACTATTTGCCAGAACTGTGTCAAGCGACAAATCGAAGCCGATCTCTACCCTCAACCGCTCCCAGCACTGGTTGCATAGTGCATTATGTGTGAGCTGCTAACCACAAGGTCCACCAGCTACTACACAGGAAAAAGATGAGGCTTTCTGTTCCTGTTAAGATTTACAGCCTTTGAAACCCTATGTAGGGTCTCTATGAGTTGGAACCCACTCAGTGGCTCACAGGGGATAGTTTTGGTTTAAGATTCCAAGATTGACATTAGGCAGTAGTTTCAGGGGTTCATCTATCCTCTGTGACTCCAGAAAGTCTAAAGTCCATGAGAATTTTGAAATTCTGTTCTGCATTTACCCCTTTTTGTTCAGGATTCTTCTATAGAGTATTTGCTCAAAATATTCGGTAATGTTAGCTGGGTACCATTCAGTTCTAGTCTCATGGCAAAGGAGGCAATTATTTATGGAGGCAATTAGCCGCACAGTCCATTTCCTATTCCTGACTCTCCTCCTTTCTCTGTTGCCCATATGAATAGAGACAAGTCATTTTGCCTTGGATGACTGCTGTTGTTGTTAAGTGCCACTGAGTCAATTCTGACTCATAGTAACCCTGATAGGGTTTTCTGAGTAGCATTTGGTGGGTTTGAACTTCCAACCTTGTGATTCGCAATCCAGTGCTTATCATACAGTGGCTGGTAGTAAAATTTTTAAGACAGCAGGCAACTTGGCAGTGAACTAGGAGGTAGAACACTAGATTTGATGGTATTAGGCCAATAACTGGGATGTCCCATGAAACCAAACCAAGAAACCAAATCCCATGAGGTGTTTGGTTTTATTGAAGCAGCTTCATCAACTATTCTTTTTTGGTCATTGTTATAAATACATTTATTATAAACTTTTACCCATTCAACTTTTTACAGGTGTACAACTTAAAGACTGCAATTAAACAGCAACTGTTCAACCATACCTTTAACTCATGTGACTTTTTCATCACCATTAACCCCTTTCCCTCCCTCCTGCCCCGGTTAACTGACAACTTATAAACTTGTGCATTGAGTGATAGTT